GTACAGGGATCCAGATGCGGGGGACCAGTGCGGGGGTCTAGGTGTGAGGGACCAGGTGAGGGGGTCCAGATGCAGGGAAACAGGTGAGGGGGTCTAGGTGTGAGGGACCAGGTGCGAGGTACCAGGTGCAGGGGAATCAGGTGCTGGGGACCAGGTGAGGGGGTCCAGGTGCAGGGGTCCAGGTGTGAGGGCTCCTGGCCAGATGGTGGCTGAGGGCTCTGCCCCTCAGGTGGACGCTGTTCTTGCTCTCCAGGTGTGGTTGGAGGTTTTGCTGTTTCTTTTTTCTGAGTTACAACCAGCGATGTTATTTCCTGGAAACGTGTTATTCACGTGCTGGAAACTTCTTGGGGCCTGACTCGTGTGAAGCAGAGATTATGTCAAGGCTGGGGAGCATGCCTTGCTGAAATTCAGATCTGAGGACTTCACTGTTCGCCCTCTCTGAGAACAGGCTTTGCTGGGGCCAGGCTGTTCCCGGCTTCCTTGGGGCCTCACCGAATTTGAGAGTGCCCGGGGACCGGGAGTCGCCCCAAAGTCCTGGCTTCCCGCGAGCAAGGGGCGGACCTAGCCCTGCCTGTCTAATACCGATTGACCGTGGCATTCATAGACAGAAACAGGGTTTGCTTTTCTCAAACTTTAGGAATAAATAGTTGAAACTTGTTCATTTTGATGAAAACAGCCTGACTTCCTCAGAAACTGTGATGTTATCTTTCTGCTGTCTAGAAAGGGTCTCCCACCGTGGTCTCCCAGACTCTTCCAACTGTGGAGGGACCCCTCTTAGCAGGAAAAGAGGAAATACGTGGTGGGCATCGCACCCAGCCCCTCCGGGCGTTGTCCGGAGTGGCCCTCGGAGTTTGAGGTTGTTAGCGAGTTTCTCTTTCCCACTGGCGGACTGAGAAGTGGAGGCAAAGTCGTCACACGCGCAACAAGTAGCAGGGCGGGGCAGGGTGCCTGTGGTGCCGTCTCTCCTGCAGTCTGTCCCGCCCGCCTCTGTCCAGCCTCCCAGAAGAGCAGCACTGGGTTTTCACCGGCAGAGTCCCGACCCAGAGTCCTAGATGCGGTCCACCATTTACCACATTTGGTCAAAGCCAGGGGATACTGGGGCATTTTCAGTCCACGCCGAAACGGAATGGAAGGACTGGAGTTAACTCCAGAGACGAGGCCTGGCGACTCAGAGGGCGTCTGTCAGCATCTCCGTTGGCCCCCCACCTCCCGTAGGAGCCAGCTCCCAGGCATCCCGGGGGTATGTGTGGGGGCCCCGGAGCTGGAGGGACGCTGTGTTCCAGCAGAAACCAGGCCGGGCATGGGTCCCCCGTCCTCATGCACCGTGGTGGGAGATGGCACGAGTTTGGGGCCTTATCGCCCAGCAGGTTCCACTTCCTGAAGACGGGGGGACATCCCTGCGGAACCCACATTTCTGAGGGGCAGATGGGGACTGCCCAGACTCCCGCTGGCCTTTCTCGGCCCATCACCCAGCCTGACCGTGACCAAGACTTTCCTCTGTGTTGCAGGAAACTCACCCGATTCGAGGGGACAGGCAGACCTCAGAGTTACTGCGGATTTGGTTCCAGACTATCGCAGTGAAGCAAATACCTTCACAATAAAGTGAGTCCCACAAAGTTCTTGGTTTCCCTGTGGGTATAAAAGTGACATCTGCACTGTATGGTCTGCTGTGTGCAGTAATGTCTGAAACATAATAGCATTAGGTCTCCATCACTCCATCTTCAGGACTTTATGTGCGTGCATGAATTAAAAGTATTGCTGAAAAATGCTAACGGTCATCTGATGGGGTTCCCACCAATCTCCCATCTGTCCAAACTGTGGTCTCTGGGCAGTGCGGTCAAACAAGGTCTGCCTGGGTGGGAGGGAGCTGGCGAGCCCAGTGGGTCCGAGGCAGCCCCGAGGAGATGTTCTGTCTCCCCTTTCAGTGTCCTGTGCCGAGAGCAGCAGACTACGGCTTACGGTTGTGGCTTAGGAGCTAGTCCTGGGGGGGGGGGTGTCTCTCCATGCTTGGAGACAAGGGATGGTGTGGAGGTGCTTGGAGGTGGTGAGGAGTGGGCCCTAGGCGTCCTCAGCCCTCGTCTCCCGTCGGGACTAGGCAAAGGCCACCTGCTCTTTCCCATGGGCCCGTCTTTTGGGGTTAACTGGGATAGGATGGTGATATGAGGTTCCGGGATATGAGGACGGGCAGGGGGCGGGGAGGGGGGTAGCTAGGGGCTCAGGGTGACCTCAGATTCACGTGTAAGAGACAAGACTTGCTCGCGGAGGGGAGTTGCCGCCCCCATGGGTCGTCTCAGTGTGGAGACAGAAAACCTGGCTTGAATTCGCTAGTCTGCCTTGATTGTTTCAACCCCCACCCTTCCTGCAGGCATTTTTCCCCAGGGCAGGGTGAGACTGTGAGTATTGGGGTGGGGGGTCCCCTTTTACCCCCGAGAGCATGTGCTGCGACGTGGTGTGCAGGAAGTGGTGAGCGGCGTTTGCTTTTTTCTGTCAGGTTGGAATTTGAGGCCTTGGTGTCCACCCTGCCTCCCCAGCCTGCCTCCCCTCTGGGGATGCCCCGGAGACAGAGGAGGGTTGGGGGCGGACTGCCAGGTAGGCAGGGGGCCAGCCCTTCAGTCGGTCGCTTTCTCTTGCTCTGATCTGCCTGTTCTGTAGAGAAATGGTTGCTGGTTTTGAGCAGGGAAGGGGGAGAAAGCTCAGACTGGACGAGGATTTTGTAGAGAAAGCACTTTTTCTATACTTCCCGGAGGCGGGGGAAGGAAGTGTGTGAAAGGGGGGAGGGAGGGGACGTGAGACGCAGGGCTGCTGTCTCCGGCATCTGCACAAAGTGGTCACCCCCTGGTTCCTAAGGGAACCCCGAGCCGTGCGGGGAGGGCCACGTCTGACGCGCACAGGGGTCCAAGGCGGTGGACGGTGCACCCGCCCCGTGGGCCCGGCTCAGGACCCGAGTGGCCGGGAACTCAGGAGCCAGCTAAGCCATTTCCGTGAAACTGACTGCACTAGATGACCCTTCTCGAGGCCGGGGGACTCAGGGTCTGTTGCGGGTTCGGTGAGGTCGATTCATTGTGACCTCCAAGAAACGCGGGTGAGGGGCGTGAAGGACGAGGCCTGGAGTGGGGTGGGGGGCCTGGAGTCCAGCGCCCACCAGGAGGGGCCGTTCCCGCAGCTCGTCCATCCTCGCGGGTCCGGCAGTAAACGTGCGGCACCTGACCTTTGTCCCCAGCGATGTCCCTGGGCCACATGACCTGCCCACACACACTCCCTGTCTCCCCAGTCTCCCGGCCCCAGCATTCCGGGTCCCCTGGGGACTCGTTTCCCCTTGGGTCCTGTGTGCCATCCCCGCCTCCCTCACTGTTGGGGGAATTGGCGTCAGTGGGGTGGACTCACGGATCCTCAGTGTGGCCAGGAAGTCCCGCTGTGTGTCCTGCAGCCCTACTGCGTGCAGGGTGGAGCGGCTGGCTGGGCGGGTAAGGGCAGAGGAGGACTGTCTGGAGAGCCAGGATTTGCGCAAAGGCTGTGCTTGAGGCTGGGCGGTGCCCTGCCTTCCGACAAGGAGACGAGGCCAGGCTGGGGATTCCTGCAGGGGAAACCTGGCGACAGCACCGTCGTATAGACACTCAAGCAAGAGCCTTTTTAGTTCCCGGAGGCACGGTGCTTTTGAAACTGCTTTAGGTGGCTATTGGAAGGCCTTGGCACTCCGAGTCACAGGGCCGTGGATGAGAACCACGGAGGGTCTTATGCGTGCTGGGGTGGAGAGGTGAAGGAGTCATTGCCCGGAGTGGGGGGTGGCCCCACGGCAGATGCGGGCGCTGGGAGATGGCCCGCCCAGCTCAGAGCTCCCAGGGACCCCGGATTTGGGCCGCTGTGCCCTTCCCTCGGACCTGGAGATACCTGGTTAGGATCGGCGGTGGTTCCCTGTTTGCTGGGATTCCGTTTCCTTCTACTGGTTCCGCGGGTCCGATCCAGCTGACATCCCCCTCCATGTGGACGGCAGAGCAGAGGAGACGCTGCTCTGTGCCCTGTCTTGTGTGAGATGCTGAGGGCTCAGAAATGAATCCAAACCAGATGTGTGTTCTCTGAGCTCCTGCAGTCATGTGGGGGTGGGGGACGTGTGGGGAGAAACGGGACCGAGCGATGAAATGTTGGCAACCAGGGAAGTGTGAATACTTTCTAGAAAAAGTGGATAATGATGAATGAATCTAGAAGACGCATGAAAGAATAAATGGATGTAGAGAAAGATGAGTAAGGATCTAATTTGAGGCATGGGGAAAATGAGAATGCATCGGTGGCCGCTGGGTGAGGAATCAAAAGGCAGAATGGTGTTTCTGGTTTTTTTTTTTTTTTTTTTTTTTTTGTGGTTGAGAGTCAAAGAGCTGCTTCGCAGTTCCACCCCAGAAACGGAAAGGTGGGTCTCCAGTGCCAGAGCTTGCGAGGTTAATGCTGGCCTTTGAATCGAGGGCTGGAATTCGCACATGTGTTAACCATAAAGGCCCGGGGCGAGCCCACCCAGACGGCTCTCCAGAGCTAAGACAGTGGGGTTGCAGGTCTGGAATCAGAGTTAGATCAACGCTGGTCGTTAGAGCTGCATTCAGGGCTGGTGAGCCGCCGGTCTGCGGTCACAGGGCTCCCAGGACATGCTCCCTGCAGGGTCTCCTCTCCAGCACCCCGCCCATGGGAGGAGGCGGCCTCAGCCGAGCGTGTCCACGATGATCGAGGCAGCCTTTCCCAGGAGTGGACTGCCAGCTTCTCACGGAGGGACGCTAAGAGCCAGCGCCCAGACCCCAGCCCATGGCAGTTGGGTCCTGTGGGCTCGGTCAGGCCGTTCTGTGTGTGGTCACACCCACTGTCTCACTTTCCAGGTGTTTGGTGTCCCCTTCATGCGACACCCTGTCCCCACTGTCCCAGCCACCTTCATCTCCCCCAAAATGAGAGCCAGGTTTATAATTTCCTTCTAAAATCACAGACCCAGAGAGGAAGACTGGCTGTGTGATTTGCTGGGAGCTGGATGGCGCTGGGGAGGGGAAGGGAGGGGGTGGGTTGGGTCCCGGCCCCCGGCCCCCCAGCTGAGGGAAGGCCCCCTCCTCATTTGCTTTGAACTCGCTGGAGCCTCTGCCTGGTCCCGATTCCCCTCTGGCCAGGCCGCTCCTTGTTTTTCTCAGTTGAGAGGCCAGTTGGAAAGAAAGCCTTCCTACGTTGGAGCGTTCCCTTCTCTCCATGCCCCGCCCGCTGTTTGCTAGCAGGGCAGATGACCAGTGACACTTGACCATCACAGACGCAGGTTTACTGGACAATATTCAGGATTTAAAGTCACCACAGCCAAAGAGCCTGTGGGTTTTGGTTTTAAGCCCCGGGTCTGCATTCTTGGAGAGGGCTGAAACCCTAGTCCAGCTGCACTCCAGCCAGAGGCTTGGGTAATCCAGTGGGAGGGCCCAGGGCGACAGAAGGTTTGCCCCCCACCCCTGCCCGAGGAGGCGTTTCTGCGCCGCTTTTCCAGGGTTTGGCTGAGAAGCCTTCTGCCTTCTCTCTGGAGCTGCGGTCTGGGGCGGGGGAGGGCGGGCTAATTCGTGTCAGATGGAGGGGCGCCAGGGGACCGTGCGCTCACCCGTCTGGCTTTTGTTCCCGGCATCCGACTTCTGACGGCAGAGTGGCCTTGAAGGCGGCGGGCGCGTCCTGCCCGGCCTCCCGGGGTCGAACTTTTCCAGGGACTCCCAGACGCAGGGGCTCGGGAGGCATCCCTGCCTGGCCCGGCTGCCGGGGAGGGGTCAGCGCCTGCCCCGGCCCTCTCGCCCGGCCGGGCTCTCCGGGCCCCCTCCGCGCGGGCCCCTCCGGGCGGCCATGCGGCTGCGCGTCCGGACCCCGGGGCCGCCTGGAGGGTGCGCGCGCGGGGCGCGGGCGCGCGGCCCCGGGGCCAGGTGAGTGGGCTGTGGGGAGGGGGCGCGGGGCGCTGG